CGGGGGGAGTCTGCACCCCACCTCTAGCCCCGCAAGTGAGTGAGCCTGGCAGCTCGGGAGAGCCGCCACCACTCGGGGCCGTGGCTTTCTTGGGTGTGACCAAAGAATTTGGATCAGATGGTCTCTAACTGCTCTACTGCCTGCTCTGAAAAGAGAAGTTGAAATAGAGAGATTCTTGAAACATTTCATGATTGCAGAAAAGAGATCATGTTTTTATAAACATATATATGTACATACATATATATTACACATATATTGTATATATAATATATATACATATATGTACATATATAATATATATATTATATGTGTGTGTGTGTGTGTGTGTGTATATATATAATTACCAGAGGGTGGATGCACTTGTGTGTGTGTGTGTGTGTGTGTGTGAGAGAGAGAGAGAGAGAGAGAGAGAGAGAGAAAGCTCCCCTCAATGAAGCATGGTCATGCCCTAAACTCTTCTCCGTTTCTCCACCCTGTTGGGATCTGGGGCACACAGGTACATACACCTGAAGTGTGTTTCAAGTCATGGGAACTGGGATTTGAACCACAATGGGCCACGTGGTACCAGGCTCTCCTAATCATGAGGCTCTGGACCTGGCCAAGGATGATGCAATCTGATACTCAACATATTTCGTGAATATTGCTGGGGAGGAGAAAGACGACTTGCTATTCTGAGTCTATTTGCAGAAGCCCTCTGCCTAGGTCAGCTCTCCTGGGTCACCTCCCACACGGATCCAGGATGCAGGACGAAGGGACACTGCCTCTAATCACAGGGAAAAACGGAGACAGGGAGATGACAGGCACTGCCCGGGCTGTCCAGGCAGCCTGGGACATACGGCCCCGCAACCTCTCCTACTTTCCACAGTCCAAGTCTCGTTTCAGACCATAAAATGGTCAGTTACGTTAAAATAGAATTCTCGATTTTCCTTTAACTTTTTTTTATTTTTTGAGAGGTTTTTGCTATAGGGCGCTTGCGCTTGCCAGAAAGACACAGAGAGACAGAGAGACAGAAAGCGAGAAATCACCCCTCAGGGAGGATGGCCACATGCAGTCCCTTCTCCTCCATCCTCCTTTTGGGATTTTGGACACGAATTGTGCCTGGTCCGAGTGTTAAGCCACCAAGTCCGGGACTCAAACTGTGGTCTACTACATGGGAGTCCAGCAATGTAACCATTATGCCATCTGCTGGTGTCAAAGGCTGCTTTACTCTATAAACAACTTCCCAGAAAGAGTCATGGAACAGAAAGAAACCTCCTTTTCCTTTGCTTCAGTGCACTAAGACAAATGAGTGCTATGCCAGGGGTCCTCGAAAAGCTCATGGAAAATGCGTATGACGGGAGAGTATGCGTGGATTCCAAACACGTTTTACACCGAAAAGTAACCAGGACTTCAATCCCGTTTTTCACAAACGTCTTGAAGTCCCCTCCCATGTGAACATGTATCAGAATGTCACCAGCATCGATGACAATGTCCCTTTAATCCTGAGCAAAGGGGTGGTGGAGAAAAGGGGTTCCCAAGAGAAAGCCCCCGCCCACCAGGAGCGGCCGCGCCGCGGACTTACCTGAATCCCTCCGGCGTCAGGATGCACTTGGAGCCGTGCTGGCAGGGGTTCAGGTCTCGCGCACAGAAGCCTAGCTTCTCCTCGCACAGCTCGCCTGTAACGTGGCACACGGCGTTAGCGCCCAGAGGAAGGCGGACGGGCTGCTCGCCAGCAGGTGCTTTGTGACTGGCGCACAGACAACACGTCCCTGACCACGACCCCACACCAGGCAGGAACCAGAAGGCCCCACACCCAGTCCTGCTAACAACCTTAAGACCTGGGACCACACGAGGCTCGTGGTCTGTGACTCCTACGGGCCTCTTGGGAGCAGAGGAGGGGCCTTAGGAATCTGTGGAAAATGGAAATTAAAGTCCAAGTTCGTTTAGGTGCCAAACATGTCGAGGTTCATGTATAGTTTTCCATATTCACATTTTCCACAGACTTTTGGAAGACCCCTCATGGTCCTGGAATTACGAAATGTCAATCTGAATGCGTCCCTTTCCTGCTGTTTACATTTTTAACTTTTTACTGAGGCCTAGTATCGACTCAAAGGATAAATGATATCTGATGGATATTCACAAACTGAGCCCACTCAGGTAACCAGCACCCGCAGCCTGCACTGCACCACTGACCGGCATTCCGGAAGCTTCTCTCATGTCCCCTGCTGCCCACTAACCCTGAAGGGGGCCCACTATTGAATAGCACTGTTCGTTTTGTTTTGTTTTGTTTTCTCTTAAGGTGTTTGCAGAGAGTGTATAAGCTTGCTGGAGAGAGACAGGGAGAGGGAAAGTGAGAAATCTCCCCTGCAGGGGGGATGGCCACACCGCAATCCCTTCTCTTCCATTCTCCTCCTGGGACTTGGGTCATCCACATCCACACACCTGGCATGACTGTTTTTTTAAAGAATTATTCTATTTAGCTTTATTTATTTATTTTAATTTGACCAGAGAGAGAGACAGAGAGAGAGAGAGAGAAAGCAAGCCTCCAGGTCTAGGACCCAAACAACTGCTTGCCACGTGGGAGTCAGGCACCTTAACCACCACGCCACCTGCTGGTCCCATGGTACACAAGTTTTTAACAACATATACATGATCAGCTATTTTTAAACAGGTTTTTTTTTTTTTTTAGCTTTGCAATTGCACTTAGTATTCCTTTAAGTTAAACACCTTGATGGAACTTACTCACTGTATTTTATCAGCCTACCAGGATGAAAGCCCTTTCAGCTTATCGAGTCTATCTGGTCGGGATCTAGGCTGTTTACAGCAGTCGCTACCCAAGGTGGTTGTAAATATTGATGGTGGAGAGGGTCCTTGTCAGATGCACGGTGACCGTCACTCCATGCACTTCTCGCTGTACCCATAAATAAAAACTTGCTTTATAAACAAGAAAGTGCTTTCTTCTTACTCACTTTGATCTAATCCGATTCGATTACTCTAACAGTTCAGAAGGCTTTACTATTTGATGGTGTGCTGGTACGAGGGTAAACGGAATGTGCCCTGCCCTTAACCAGCTCCCACTGCACCGCAGAGAAAGCTGAGCTGGAGCCAGAGCACCAAGAGTGATTTCGTCGCTCAGGGGAGAAAGCAGAGTGGACCCCTCTTCTCTCATAAGGAATTTCTCCACAGACCGACATGGAAAGGAGTGAGAAGGAAAGGAGCCCTGATAAATTCTGGGCTAATGAGCTTGCCAAATCTGGGGTCAACTGCTTTAAAACTCAGTATGGGGGCCAGCAGGTGGCATGGTGGTTAAAGTGCTGGACTCTCTGATGGCCAATTATAGTTCAAGTCCTGGACCTTGCAGCTTCAAAATCATGCCAGGCATGTATGCGTGTGTGCCCCAAATCCCAAGAGCAGAATGGAGGAGAAGGGACTGCAGTGTGGCCATCCTCCCTGGGGGATGACTTCTCACTCTCCCTCTCTCTGCCTGTGTCTTTGTCTCCCAGTGAGCACATGCATCCTATGGCAAAAACAAACAAACAAACAAAAAAACAAAAACAAACAAACAAAAAACAAAAAAAAATCCTTAAAAATATAAAAAGAGAGGGAACAGCAGGTGGCATGGCGATTAAGGCACTGGACACTCCCACATGGTTGACCACGGTTCAACTCCTGGACCTGGTGGCTTGGTCTCTCACTTTCTCTCTCTCTCTTTATCTCTCTCTCTGTGTCTCTGGTCAAATTAAAATCAATGAATGAATAAATAAAATAAATAATTGTTTAAGAAATATAAAAAGAGAGAGATTCAGTTATGTGAACTTGAATATGAAAAGCCTCATTAACGTCCAGTGTTCCTTATCTCCACGAGAACAGTATGAAAGCCACACCCACAGCGTCTCCCCGCCTCACAGTGCCTTCCTCTGTGCACCCCGAGAGGTACTTGTCATCTCTGTGAGCCCCATCCTGAGCTCGCGGCAGTGCAGTCCCATCTTCAGGCCCCACTTCCTCCACCGAAGCCTTGAGCCCCTCGAAGTCATCACTGGGAACTACAATCGACTTCTTCCAAACTCACGCTCTCAGCTTGATCTCCATGAATCAGGAGTGTTCTCGATGGCATCGGGAGCGGAGAAGCCGCTCCAGAGGGTCTCGACCCTTTGACAGGCCCATCAGAGCGTCTCTCTCTACAGCAGCCCCAGCCTTAGAGGTTTTGTTTTAATAAGAAGACTTAGAGGTTATAATGACATGTGGGCCTCGGGAGGGAGGCTGTGTCTGCAGGTATGAAAGTAGCTAATTGAACTGCCCGTCTTCACCAGGCTTTGGGTGACAGGTGCATCGTCAAGGAGCAGATTGTTTGGAAAGGAAGCTTTGCTCCAAGCAGCGGCTCTCGACCATGGTCTCACACTCTCAGCCAGCCGCATGCTGTCAGCCAGGCTGTGAAACGGGCCTGCCGTCACCCTGGCTCAGAGGTCGGTCGACTACAGAGCACAGACAGAGCAGATCTGGCACGATGCCTCAGGTTCTAGACCCTCAGAACAGCGAACAATGCCTGTCTTCACCTGCACGTCACCAGCAGCATTAGCCCCGTAAGAGAGACAAAGATCCTTGGGGGCTTTGAAGCCAGGACTCACTCCTCCTCTCCAGCCACGACAGTCCTAGACGAGTCTTCTTCTCTGCCTTGCAAATACACGGTTTAGTACAGCCGCCTGCATGACAACCACAGCGTGGTCTTCTCTAAGTCGCTGCAGCACCTGTGTCGGCCCGCTGCTTCATCTTGCACTGTCATGCTCTGGGGGCAGCTTCTCCCCTTGAACCTCGTGACCCAGTGTCCAAGAGTGTCACACTTTTCCTCCGCGGCTTCCTGCAACTGGAGAGAGGTAGGGCCTTGGTCTGGCTTGGGCTTTGGCTCAAGGGGCTGCTGTGGCCAATCTGGTCTTCAGGGTAGACCACGGGAACTTGCCAGAACCAGCAATACCGCTGTCTCCCTCTCCCGTCAACATCCACTTCCTGGACGACACTCTTCATTGTCTTCCCAAACTTTTTCTTTGTATTCGCAACTTGGTTGCTTGACTTAAGGGGCCTAGCCTTCACCCTCTCCTGGCCTTTTCTTTCCTTTTTTTAAGAATTATTTATTTATTTAATTCCATTTGCTATAATTTTAAAAATTGACCTGAAAGAGACAGAGAGAGAGAGAGGGAAAGGGAGAAAGCAAGCCGCCAGGTCTGGGACCTGAACCGTGGTCGACCATGTGGGAATCCAGCACCTTTAACCACCACGCCACCTGCCGGCCCTCTCCTGGCCTTGTCACTAAGCTAGATTGTTCCTAGTTTTTGATTTAATGGGAAAACTGTGCAAGTTTTCCCTTCACTGGAACACTTAGAGGCCATTGTAGGGTTGTTAGTGGCCTAATGTCAGTATTTTGGGGGTCTTGGGGAACAGGGAGTTTGAGGGGAGGGCGAGAGAGGGGAACAGCGAGCCGCTGGATCCTTCAGAACATACGTGCTCAGGTCTGCAGTCTTACAGACGTGGTCTGTGGTGCCCCGGAATCCTAACTCCGGTAATATCGAAAACCACTGATCACAGACCACCCTAGGGTACAATAATAATGAAAAGTGAAGTGAGAAATTTTGCAAGAATTACCAAAATGCCACAGAGACAGGAAGCAAGCATGTACCGCTGGAAAAGCAGACTTGCACAGTACGGGGCTGCAGGGCCTTAAATCTGCAAAGGCCTCAGTGTCTGCCGAGGGCAATGTGGCGAGGTTCAGAGAACGGGCATGCCACGCATTTTCTCCTCTGCTGACCCCGGCCAGCCCGACCTGTTCCACAGTGTATTAGGGTGATCATCCGGGGCTCCAGGGCTCATTAACAAGGCTGATGCCCGGTCTCCTGTCTAAATACCCACCCCGTTTAATACCTATGGCAGTGCCCGTGTAATGGGCTTTATCTCCATCGGTATACAAAGGATTTCTTGTAAATAGCACATTTCTGTTGCTTATTATTATAACTTTTTAAAAGCATCAACTCTTCCTGAGGATTCTTTCAACAATCTGATACTTTATTAATGTTTGCTATCCTGAAACTTGTCTGAACAATTAGAAATAATTAACCTTCAAAATATGGTCTATGAAGGATCCAGCCTGCTCACCTTTCTAAACTGAATTAAATCTCATGTTCAGAGTAGAAACAGACAGAACTGGTCCCCAGGGCTCCGGAATTCTTGAAGCTATGTGAGCCACCGATAGGGCCGTCTTGCCGTGGGACGTGTGCGGAATGGGACATGTGCAGGGATCAGGACGGGGACACAGAGAAACCCCACGAGGTAAAGCTAGTCAATTAGGAAGGCACAGAAGCCATGCTTCCAGGTAGAGAGCAGGATGTTCCAAAGAAGGACGATTTTGTTGTTCTTTTTGTGTTCTGAATGGTACGGGCTGGGTTACTGGACAGTGACTGTCTGCTGGAGTCCCATCAGTGTGGATATGCAGAAAGAGGGTTTCTCTTTGTCTTTACGGACTCACCAGTGAAGTGGCTCCATTATGCTGTTCATACTCTTGGGATCTGAGAAGTGATGGCTTGTGTGGATGGAATATTTGACCCCCTCTGAACTTGCAGTCAAGAATCAAAGCCAGAGAGCCTGCCTGGCCGACAGGGCAATGTTTTATGGATTTTGTATCACTTTCAAT